TTTGTAAGTTATCTGTCTAAGCCAAGATTTTTTTTCAGATCTCTTGATGTGATAAGTATTATAAGACTTGTCTCAGGAAAGTGTTGGATTTTGGGTTCTAGTTCACGGTTCATTTACTTAACCCCTGAAATGCTGTTCTATTACAGGGTATATTCAGTAAATTATAATTAACTACTCTAGATATGATCATGATAATACTATATAGCAACAGAAAAACCATTTTTACAATTAATTTAGGAATGAAGACATTAAGTGTTTGAATGTCCTACAATGACTTACATTCTCATGAAAAGTATTATGCTAATGTTTAATATTTCAGGCACTCAAACACTGGTGAAGCGAACTAAAAGTTTATGTCCCCTCCAACCCCAATTCTAAACTGAAATCCTAATGTACAAGATGATGGTGTTAGGAAGTGAGATCTCTAGGAGGCAGTTATGTCATGAGAGTCGAATCCCCAAATTTGGAGACCACTTGGATTAAGATCCTGATAAAGAGGGACCCTGGAGAGATGAAATTGTAATAAAGGAAAGAAGGGAGAAAGATACATCATTACACTTTATTTATTTTCTAATAAAGACTAGATTCCATCATGCCTAATTTACCTTAATTATGGAATATTTATTAAAATTGAGGCTCTAAATTGAGTTCTGATGATCCTGTCCCTGATATATATTGCTCAGACTATTCTCAAATTGGAGATGCTCCTGGCCCAGCCTCTTGGCTGGTGTGTACAGTCCTGGGTCGCTATGTCTGGCCTTGTTTTTCATAAGAATAGTACTTTTATTCCAATATAAAACTTAAAAAAAAACTATTATCACAAAAGAGGCTAACAAATTCTATGTATCTTCAAGATCATCAGTGTTGGGAGAAAAAAAAAGCAGCAGAATGGTCAAAATTCAATAAGCCTGGGTCACAGATTTATTGAAAAACTAGACTACCATTATATTTTAAGTGCACGGTGTAACCTGCCATTTTAATTTCTATTCAAAAAAGAAATTTTGACTATATCTTTTAAAAATGCAGTTGAATCATGTGAGCTGATTATGCATACTAGTGGGTTTGGCATGAATTTCTCTATGTGCACATAGCACATATTCCTCCTAGTCTCTAGTGATTATTCTGATATCAATATTTTTAAAGCTTCTACATATAAGAGAGATCATGGTGTCCTTGTTTTCCTGTGTCTAGCTTATTTTACCTGATGCCACCAGTTCCATTTTACTGCAAATGAGAGGCTCTCATTCTTCTTTATGGTCAGGTAATATTTAATCATACATACGATATATGACATATACAGTATATATAATCAGCTATAGGGAATAGTATATATGATAGTATATCTGATAACATACATATAGTGTATATGTACGTATATATGTTCAATCATTTGCTCCTGGGCAGTCAGACTAATTCCTTATCTGTATCTGTTGTGAACTATACTGTAGGCTTTGGTGTTCCGACTTCCCTTCCTTTGGGTATATGCCTAGAAGTGGGATAGCTGTATCCTTTGGTATAGCTATTTTTAGTTTTTGAGGAACCTCTATACTGTTCTGAATAATAATTGGGATAATCTATATTACCATCACCAGTATATGAGTTTCATTTTTACATATCTTTGCCAGAATTTTTTATTTATTTTATAATACATGTTTTTATTGTAGTTAGGATTTACATGTCCCTGATAGCTAATGCTAGTCAGTGTTTCAATATATTAAGTAACTTGATTATTTTCCCATTTTAAGGTTAGATGATTTGCTTACGTCATTTTTAATTTCTAAGTAGTCTAGACCCCTTTGTCAGAGAAGTAATGGCAATTATTTCTGCTTATTCTGTAGGTTGCTTATTTATCCTGTTGCTTCTCATACTATGGAGATGTTTGGAGTTTGATTTCATCCTAACTAGTCAAGTTTTGCTTTAGTTTCCTTATGGGGCATTAAAAGCCTCCTTCTTTTTCAGATTCTGGCGGCTTCAGACCTCATTAAGTCTTTGATCCCCACCTCTCATTTCAATAATTTTTTTTCTTTTATTGAAACCAGATTTTCTTACCTAATATGTTCTGATTATGGTTTCCCCTCCCTGTAAAACTCCCAGCTTCTTCCCCCACCCCCGATCTGGTTCTAGTAGAGAGTGAGAGATAAGGATCCAATATGAATCCTTTGGGGATCTGCACCCTTCTCAGCACCACTTCCACAGTGAGCTCTTTCGGGGCTCTGCTAAGCATCGGGCACATGTGCATGCATGGCATCTCTGCTCAGTTCCATTGTGCCACTTGTTTCTTTTGCCAGTGTCCTGCTGTCTAGGACACTGCTGCTTCACAGCAGATCTTGATTTCAGATTTTGTGATGCTGCCAGCTTTTATCCCCTCAGGAGTCCTTTGGCTATCTGGGGCACTGTGGTTCCATATAGACCTTTAAGGTCATTATTTCTTGTTCTGTGAAGAATGTCATTGACATTTTAATAGGGCCTCCATTGAGTGGACGGTATATTTAAAGAATATTAATTCTTCCAATCCACAAACATGAGAAGCTTTTACATTTTTAATGTCTTTTTAAATATATTTCATCAGTGTCTTATAATTATTATTGAGTCTTTTCACTCCCTTGACTGTTTATTCTTCAGTATTCCTTGCACTGTCCAGAATCCAGGCAGTAAGTGCAGATCGGGTTCTTTCTGTGCTGCAATGCTAATCCTTTAAAGGACATCTAGTGCATTTAGGTCACAGTCAGTCTGGGATGCTGCAGACCCCAGCATGGACTTTATAACCCTAAAATCAGTTCTGACTCAAAGTGGAGCTTAGCACATTTGGTATTTGCAGGGAGAAGACCTGGTTGTTCATTAAGAAAGGGGGAAGTGCTGTGAACTTCTAATCACATGTCTTGGATCTCACATTACTTTTTATTTTACCTTTCTTCCAGTTCTTCTAGTTCTCTGTGAGGTGTGGTTTGTTTTTGTTAGCTCTCTGGGAGTATGAAGGATGAAGACACCTTTCCCTACCCTCTGGGCTAACACCAAGACCATTTTAATTGGGACACCATAAAACATCTCTTGGTTCTACTAGCATGTGTATATTCTTATTTGCATATGATGGAGTTGTGATAAGAAGAGGAAAATAAATTAGGACTGAGTTTTCCAACTCAAAAGGCAGAAATCGCTTGCTTCCCGTCATCCTATGGCAGTCACAAGGTCAACAAATATGGAATAGGATAAGCCAGCATTCTCTGCCTGTGCTAGGCCAATGAAGTTGTTATTTTGTTACTGTGTCTTTAAAAAATGCCTTAACTTATTCATAGTATATATGGATGAGAAAATTCTAGAAATGCAACCCCAGTTAAATAATAATGCTTATGATAGAAATATTTAAGTCATGAACCTTCCAAAATGACTTCTACGTCATCTTAACATTTGAAATAATTAATTTATACCTTCATATTTGGTCTAATTAAAAAAAATCAGCATTTCCTTAAAATCCAGCTTGGAGTTTGAGCCTAGTTTATTCTGGGAAAAGTAGTCCCAGATACTCTGGAATGATAGAAAGTCTCTTTCCCAGTCAGACCTGCCTGCCTCACGGTTTGGGGATTACCAGCTGGATGAAGCATCCAGGAAACTTCAGTTAAGAAACCCCTTTCCTATCTTGCTTTCTCTCTCCTCCATCCCATGTCTTCCTGCTAACTTTGCATTTACGTTTGTTATTTAGTAGTGTTGGCCATGCGTGCACATTGGGTATCACCTCTAGAATCTGCACTTGTTTCATGGCATTCTCTCTTGGGTTGCATAAAAAAATGTCTGTATGATGTGAGAATGACAAGACTGGGCTGCAGTCTCAGAATAAAAGAATCAGTTTTGAACCAGTTGGTCTCCAGGATTTAGTATCTTATTTTGGCTCCAACAGATCTCTTGATAGAAAATTATTTAGCATAAATGTTTTACTCTCTGTGGGTCTTTAATTAAAGAAGAGTGAATTGCTTTAATGTACTGAATAATGATAAAAATTTTATAGAGTTATTGGAGGAATAAACTATAGTCACCTGCTCACTAGTTTATCAATTCTGGTTAATGGACTTTTGAGAAGTTGTATAGAGAGCAATATCCCTGGGAAGGTGGTAATACTGTTTATATTTTGCAAGTGGAATCCCCAGAAAAAAAGAACAGAAATAAAATCATAACCTGGAAAAAATGGGCAAAAATGTCCTAGACTTCTACTGCTGGTTAGTGTGTAGTCCTGGACATAACAAAAAGAAACAGAGACTGGCACTCTTTTATATTTTGGCCAGGGCTTTTTAAAGCTAGATTGAAATACATCATAGCCAAGTACTTACCAAAGGAGGGGCCAACAAGGGAAGTCATGATGTTGAATGGAAGGCACTCTCTTTGGCTTTCCTCAATTGGGCAAGGAGCATGCTAATGCTACAAAAGCCAGAATCTTGCAGTGGGAGAGCCCTACTCTGATGGAGCACAGCTTAGAGGACTACTGCTCTGAGGGACTACCACTCTGATGGAGCACAGTTCTGATGGAGCACAGTTCAGCTGACTGTGCGCGGATGGAATACCACTCTGTTGGAGCACAGCTCAGATGGAGGACTACTTCTCTGAGGGACTACCACTCTGATGGAGCACATCTCTGATAGAGCACATCTCAGAGGACTACCATTCTGATGGTGCACAGCTCAGATGACTTCATCTTTGAAGCACTACTGCTCTCATGAACCAACCAGTTCATGTTGCCCGATGTTACATGGGATAAATGCAGATTGGTGTTGTCATGCCAAGAATATGTTGTTTGAGCAGAGGCAGAGCAGTTGGTCTATCTTATATTTGACTTTTCTTGGTTGGTATAATTGACAGGGAACTTGTCTACATAGAGTTTTGGAAACCAAGAAATCATTTAGTAAACCTTTCATAACATGAGTTTGACTTTGAGAGTTGGACTCAAAAGTATCATCCTGATGTATTACAGCTGCTAGGAGAAGTCAAATAATAAAGCACTCCTCAGGACTTACATCTCTTCCAATCAGGTCCTCCTGGTTTTCCACAATTCCCCAGGGGGCGATTCCTATGGTACATATCTTCCCTCGAGACTTAGAGGCATGGTCCTTCAAGGCATCTCCAACATGACGAATGACTCCTAGGAGCAGAGAGAGAGGGATTAACCTTGTCTTTTAAGGGCAGTGACCTTTCTACCATTCTGCAGGAAATTAATGAGTGCCTGTAACTTGGGGGAGAGTGTTGGATATACAATTTTGACACATTTCTATAAAAAATACATTTAGAAGAAACAGAGTGGCTATAATGCAAATATATTTACCAGATTTAATAAAAATTCAAACAATGCATTTCTTTAACTCACATGGAAAAAGAGAATATCTAATGTCAACAAAGAATAAATACAATTATAATATAATTAGAGGACCCTTTCCTTGCAAGCATAGTGATTTATTAGTATCCTTGCATCCTTGGAATAAAAAAAGCACAAAAGTTAATGTATTCCACAGTCCGTGAAAGAATTAGGGTCATTTCTGTAGTTATTTACCTAAGATTTTATTAACTTCAATTTCCTCTTTCTATTTATATCACATAATGTGGAAAGCCTAGTAATAATGCTGTCTTACTCAATGGTAAATTTATGCTAAAACGTATGAGCACACCTTTAATATTCACCATTCTCTTTGTTTCCTCCTTCTGTTAATGATTGCCTCACAGTTAAAAGCAAGGAAATTCAGATTGCAGCAGTACGGAACCTGATTTTACTTTAAGAAAGCATTTAAAGGATAGACGGTTTCTAATCCTTTAGCTCCCTTAGCAATTGTTTCTATATATGACTTGTAAGATACATTTTCTAAGAATTTTCCCTCATCAACATTCTCCCCATTCCCCAAGAAGCATTTATCCTCAGTGCCATCCCTTCTATGAATATTATGTCGAATATGATTTCTTGTGCATGAAGAAGCTTGTGAGTCCCCAACAGCTCCAGATTGCATGGCTGCATCCTCTAGTGATGCATAGCAGCATGGGAGCTGTGACCTCTGACGTCAACTTGGGGGCCTTGAGGGACTGTCTGACTCCAAATAAGGGCTCGGAAACCATGCACTGACCAGGCAGAACACACCCAGCAGTGTCACTGTGGAGACATCATGCGTGTTTCAATAGCTCAGTTGTGAAGCAGACGCGAGATCAGACAAAAAGAGTTTCTTTTTAGGAATCAACTAAACCTTGAACACTGCTCCACAGTGCGCTGTACTGCGAGCCTGGGAAGAAACCCTTCTCACCTGTTAGCTTGCCAATGTATCATCTAAGTAAAAATATTTCTGAACACAACTTTCGGACAAAAAAGAGTAAATACGTAAATATTAATATAATATGCAAAACAACATCAGGGCTGGGTTGGACAAGAAATCTAACTTTACGGCATGCCTCTTGGTCTGCTTTGGTTTTCTTTTCCTGCCACACATTTAACAGCTATCATTAAAGTCCCGTACTCTGGACCAGAGATTAGTTGTTTGGTTTCTAGTATTTAGGATGTAATCCCCCACCTCTGCTTTTGAATACATTTCATACAAGAAGAAACCCAACTAGCAATCCAACCTTCTAAATATAGAAAATTGGTTGAAATTTTTTCCCGAGCCTTTTGAGTCTTTCATTGGGCAGGTCTCTCTATACCAGGAAAACAAAAGACAAAATAATTACAAGTAAGCACTTTTTACTTAGTGAATCAAAAATGTGGGGGGCTAATATCTGAATAGTCACTTCAGTTTTTCTTTACAGGATCAACAGTAAGAGCTGACTGAGCAGGTCAGCCAAGGATGCTTCCAGCTGGTGGGCCGGGCTGGGCTTTATAACACATCACTGGGTGTGGACCATCTGTACAGTTGACTGCCCAAACACGCCTGTTTAGCTGTGTGCTGACCGCTCACAAATTCTAGCTGTGTAGGAGATTTCAGTTTTGGTATCACTCAAGCATCATCCAAGCTAAAACTCAATTATTGTTTAAATAAGAGCACATTAGTTGGTCTAGAGTTATATACTCTGGATGTCCCACTAACTTCAAATGTGCCCACGTGGAACAGAATTTGATTCTTAAGACACATTTGTATTTGCTTATTACAAAGTTACTAGGATACTTTTGCTATTCTTTTGGGGGTCTCTCCTTAACCCCCTCTCAAACCCTAGCTATCCTGGAACTCATTGTTATAGACAAGGCTGGCCTCAAACTCACAGAGATCCACCTGCCTGTTACTGCTGAGTTTTGGCGTTAAGGGCATGCACCCCCACACCTGGCACTGGTATGCTTTTAATAGGAATTTCTGACTCAGGGTCTCTGGCAACAAAATTTCCTCCATTATCTGTTACATACTAATCATGTTCTGCAGACAAGAACCTAACTTTACGTGGTTATTAGAATTGATTTAATTACATGCCTGTATCATAATATAGAAATTTGTGTGGCAGACAGGAAAAGATATTTGGAATCCAAGGATGTTTTGAATTAATTATCTGTTAATGTAGAATATTTTAAGAAACATTTAACATTATAAACACACATGGGTCTGGAGAGATGTTCAGCATGTACTGCTTTTGCAGAGGATCCGAGTTTGGTTTCTGGTACCCATGTTGGGCAGTTAGCAACTGCCTGTAACTCCCGATTCAAGAAGGATCCAATGCTTCTGGCTTCTGAGGGCACTACACTAATGCACACAAACCCACTCAGACAAGCACACAGACATATAAATAAAAGTAAAATATCTTAAATAAGCATGCAGTAACCTAGACTTACCCTTATAATTCATGTTCCAGATAGAAATGGCATTTTAAAAGTAGGGCTAGGAAGATGCCCAGTAGATAAAGCAACTGTCATACAAGTGTAAGGACCTGAGTTCGAACCATCAGAACCCATGTAAAAGACAGATGTAGTAGTATTCTGAGCATCTGTAGCATGCCCACAGAGAGATGAATGGCAGAAAATGGAGAGTCGGGCGAGGCTCACTGGACAACCAGTCTGGAGTATCCAGCAGTGAACAACAAAGAAACCCTGCCTCAACAAGGGGAAAGGAAAGGACTGACAGACACATGTCGATCTCTCTCTCTCTCTCTCTCTCTCTCTCTCTCTCTCTCTCTCTCCCCACACACACACACACACACACTTAAGAAAAGTTATTTGGTACCAAGCTGAAAATTAACATAAATTATGAAGGAAGACATTCCAATTTAAAACAAAAAGTTATTTTTTAAATCGCTAGCGGATACCCATGATAATTTGACCCACTGAAAACATCCTGCAACTTTCCATTAGTCGTGTATTCAAATCCTTTAAGTCATTAAAGAGTAAAGCCATTTCTCATATGCAGTTCTTCTTAGCTGAAAATCATCTCTATGGCGATGACTTAGGCAAAGAAAGAAGGGAAAGTAGAAGGATGCGCAGGACGGTGGACATGTCTGGTAGAGATGATGTAGAGAAATGGGGACATTTTCAACGAGGTGAAATTGTTCTAGACACAGTATTATCACAGCTGCCTTTCTTCATCCCACTCTGATTACCTGTGTTGACCCCTCCCGTGAAGATCCATGCTCCGGTTGTCATGGCCGCTTTGATGAGCCCTTTCCCGAAGACTTGCTTGAGTTTGGGTTGGAGCTCAAAGTTCTGCAGCCCTCCATGCACAGAGATGAGAAGTTTGGGAAGCTCCAGTTGCCATTCCTTGGTCATCAGGTGTAGCAAGAGATCAGGTTTCGTATCAAAAGATACTCGAACATACTAGAATAAATATGGACAATTAGGAAGATGGGTAGGGCTGCCTGGGGCTGTTGGACTTTTTGATAGTCATATGTGCTGTACTTGAATAAAATGGTTTTTTGTGAAATTAGATATTTTAAAGAGAAGGGATCATTTCCTTTACCAAAGGAGGCGTCAGGATACAGAGGGCTCCCTAGTTTTAAAGGTTTTGTTGAAATTGAGTTATTGCCAACTAAAAAATTACCTAATTTTTATAAAATACAGTTTAAACACAATTTTCTTGGTAAGCTTTTTGTCTAAAACAAATCATGTTGGTTTTTTTTTTACCATTGTTCATATTTGCATCCTTCAAACACCCCTAATATTTTCAACAAGATCAATCCCTTTAAAGAAACTATATGTAGATACAGCTGTGACTTTGTGCTTTTATGATCTTGTTGTCATTTTGAGGTTCCAGAAGACCCAAAAGTTCTGAAGAATACAATGAAAATTTTAAAATGAGGCTATAGCAGGTTATATTTAGCTATAAATGCATCTCAGATAGCCTGTCTATTGTCTACCTACCTATGTAAAAATCTATATATCTTTCTTTTATCTATCATTTATCTGTGTATCTATCTATCATCAGTCAACCAATCAACCAACCATTTGTACTTCCTTAATTTTTATGAGACACTAGGTAGCTGTGACTGGTCTGGAACATGCTATTAAAATCAGGCTGACTTCAAACTCCCGGTGATCCTCTTGGTTCTGCCTTCGAAGTGCTGAAACAAGAGATATGGGGCACCACACGCAGTTCAAATGTTTTAATTCTGAAAGATCAGTGACAGAAGACATGCCAGCTATTTCTGAAATATGTTTGAAAATGAGATATATAACAGAAACCAAGGGTTTACTAGAAATCAGGATTTTACTGGACACAACAGGAAATTATAAGTATATATAACAAATGCTATAAGTACAATTATAATATATAGGATTATATACAGGGATGCACAGGTTTTAGTTGAACTGCATAGTTGACATTCTAGGCAATTATAGAAAATCTTGTGACATGTACTATTGACATGGCATGAAATACAGAGACACTCAATTCCTAAGGGAAGTTTGTTTGGATGCACGAAGCCAGGCTAGATGTGAGAGGCTCTAACAAAATCTGCACCCCTTCAGCATCTGTCCTTATGACTTTCTTAAGTCTGAGGGAGTTTTGGGGGAGCCCCACAGAAGGATGGTACACATCAAAGTCCGCAACCCTGAAACGTTAGGAGGAAAACTTAAGGAACTATATAAAAGAAAGCTGTAGGTTCACTTGCTTGCCTCAAGCATGGCATACCGAGGTAGGCTCTGGGTGAACAGACAAAAGAATTTCCATTCTATTATTTCTAAACACAAGTAGGTCCCTACACAGGTTTTCCATCAGTACTTAGTGTGATTTGAGATGTAAAAAGTGGCGTATTAATGCCAATTGTTTTGGTGGAGTAATGGCTCCAGGTAAGCAGCAGAAACAAACATAGACCCTCTGTGAAGGAATCTGTAATACATCGAGATTGGAAGTAAGAGCATACCAACAGATAGCTGATCTAGACCCCCCAAGACAGTGAGATGGTCATAGAATACAGGACAGACACATTCAGCATCTTATATATCGATATTAAAACAAGGAAGAAGAAGTTGTAATGACCATGGCCATCTGAAAACCTAGAACAACGTGCAGAAATTTAAGTGACTACTGTAGGTGAAAATTAGCATGGAAAAGGAACATATTGACAATGGTTCCTAAAAAAATCAGCCGTGGACAGCCTGGAAAGATGAAGGCTGGAAAAAGACACAGAAAAACTAAAACAACTGAAGATCTCGAAAGAGTGAGTTAGAAATTCTAGACAACCTCGAAAGAGGCACTGCTTGAGGAGGCATTGGCGGAATATGTCTCAGAAATATTGAAGAATACCAACTCTCAGATCCTGGAGCTCAGTGGATCCTAGGCAGGATAAATAACAGGAAACTTCAGTCATGATATGTCACAGAGAGCACCCCTCAAAACGGGAGAAAGGGCCACCTGTGAAGGCTCTAGACTGGAAGGAACCCCACTCCTCGGTTTCAGCAATGGAAACTAAAGCCAAGAGAAATGGCCAGTCGGTCTAGAGCTCAGGAAAAAAAGTGAGTTTCCCTCTGACAGTTTTCACTGAAGTAAAATGGAAGTTTATTTGATCCGGAATGATGATCTCAAACACGAGGTGGGACGTAACTAGCTAACTCATACATGGTAAATACAAAGTCATGTTGATTGCACAAATATAAAACAATAACCATGCCTAATTCATAGTGTAAAGGAGAGAGAAAAAGCATTAGGCAATAGATTAGTAATATTTCAAAATTATAGCATTCTTATGTGCATAATACATGGGGAATATATCTCAGTTGTAGAAGCATGCCTTTGTAAACTCTTGCTTTGATACCTAACCACACATAAACAGGATGTGATAGTGCATGTCTGTAATCCTAAGATTTGAGGGATGGAGGGAGGAGGATCAGAAGTTTGGGACCATCCTGAACTACATGAGGTGCTGTCTCAAAAACAAAAATAACAAGAACAAAAGTATATTCTGGGCCCTTGAGATGGTTCAGTGAGCAAAGGCACTTCCTTGATACCAAGCCTGAGGACCTGAGTTCAATCCCCGGGACCACATGGTAGGAGGAGAGTACCAACCCCTCCCCCGCAAAGTTTTCTCTGACTTCTGTGCACTCGCTGTGGCTCCCACAATATATACACACAGAAAATTAATTAGAATGTTTGAGAATTTTGAAAGTCTTGTACAGGAGAGAATATAATTGATTAACTAGGTTTGTGGCACGTTGCTGTAATCAGCACTTGTAAGGTGGAGGCAGAATTTTCAGGGGTTCAAAGGCTAGCCTTGGATACATAGTGAATTTAAGGCTAGCCTGGACTTTATGAAATCCTATCTCAAAAAACTCCAAATCATTCACTGCCTTTGGGCCAATTACATTCTTTACTCATGTGTGTAGTGCATGCGTGCACATGTTCATTTGTGGATGCACAATTGCATACAAGTGTGGACCATGAGTTAATTTTGAGTGTCTTCCTCAATCACTGCCTCTTTTATTTATTTTCTTTATTTATTAAATTATTTTGTGTGTGCATGCATGTATGTGTGCATGCGTGCATGTGTGTATGCGTGCGCGCGTGTGTGTGTGTGTGTGCATGCACATGTGTTACATTAGAGGTGCGGAAATCAGAGGACAGCTTAGGGAGTAGGTTCTCTCCTCCCATCATGTGAATTCCAGGAATTCAATTCATGTCATCAGACTTGCCGGCAAGCGCAAACCATTTGCCAGCCCTTATGTCCACCTGAAATTTTTAAACACGATCTCTTTCAACATGAAACTCACTGGTTTGCTTGGCCAGTGTGACCCTAGATATCCTCTTGTCTCTACCTTCACAGCGCTGGGATTACTGGTGTATGCTATTCTGGGCTTGTCGTGTGGGTTTTGGTATTTGAACTTGGATTTTCAAATTTGTGTGGTAAGAACCTTACCAATTGAGACAACTTTCCAAGCCCTAAAATTCATTTTTTTTGAGGTTAGTACCAAGGCTCACATGTATATCAATTGACTCCCATACTATTTTACAGTCATTTCTTAAATAGTACTCCAAAACGGTGATGAAAGCACAGCACAGAAAATACATAAACCATCAAAGTAGCCTCTAGTCAAGAATTGTCTGTGACATAGAACTGTGTATTCTTCACCTTTCAAAAAATAGGCTTGGCAGTGTAACATCACCGAACACATGAACAAAATGTGCTGCTTTTTATGCTTCCCTTACACCACTATGTGGTGGTCATTTTTGAGCTCCATTGTACATACGTGAGCTCAGAGCTCAGCATTCTACATATGGTCCACTGTCAGCTGAAGGTCACTCTGTGGGGCCTGAATTCTGCATTCTAAGTACATGTTTTCTAAGTTCCATCTCATAGTCTCCGTTACCATTTCCAATGAGATAGAAAGAATCCATAGTGTTTCCAAGCACACCCTTCTAATGGGTCACAAGAGGTTCTGTAACCTCGCTTTGAATCTACATCCTTCTCTTGACCTTAAACATATAACGGCCTCTTACTCCTTTTTCTTTACATAAACCAACTAGTCTCCAAGTTCTAAGGAGGCATTTTTCAAAATACTCCTTTCACCCAGGCCTGGTCTTGACTCTGTCCACAGTTGTGTTAGCAGTCCATTTCCTTAAAGAATGTCAGTTTGGGTTCTGGTACAGCCTCCTTGTGGCTTTTCTGTACCTCAGATTACTATGAGATACCAGCCAGTCAATGGGCTGACTTCTTCCTTTGATCATTCTGGTGTAGGAGTTCCTTCTGTTTATGTGTTGCTTTCATTGGTTAATGAATAAAGAAACTGCCTTGGCCTAGTTAATAGGATGAAACTTAGGTAGGCAGAGAAAACAGAACTGAATACTAGGAAGAAGGACATAGTGAGAAGAAGTCATGGATCCTCCACTGGAGATGGACACCAGTTAGAATCTCCAGTAAGCCACTGCCACATGGCGATACATAGATTAATGGAGATGGGTTAAACTAATATATAAGAGATAGTCAATAAAAAGTTAGAGCTAATGGCCAAGCAGAGTTTTAATTAATACAGTTTCTGTGTGGTTATTTCGGGTGTAAGCGAGCCAGGCGGCCAGGACAAACAAGGGGCCCTCTTCTCACAACATCATACTATTTATTTTAAATCATTGCATCTTTTTCAAATTCTCTATTCAAACAAGTAAGGTTTTCCTTATTTTGGCATTACACTCACTACTGGCAACTTTTCCCAGTATTAGCATTTGACTAATACTAATACCCAAGTTCTAAGGTAATGCACTCTGTCCTGTTACTCACAGAAACTATACTCATCTTTCAAAAGTTCGTTTCAGTCCCAGTGACTGCCTGAGACTGCAAGCCCATGCTGACACAATGTGATTCTTGCTTAAGCCCAGTGTGATAGTTCTT